GGCCGCGTGACCGCAAAAAAAAAAAAAAAGAAGAAGAAAGGGCTCAAAAGAAACTAACTGTTGACATCTTGATCTCAAACTTCTAGCCTTCAGAATTGTGACAAAATAAATTTCTGTTGTTTAAACCACCCATTCTGTGGTGTTTTCTTGTGGCAGTCCTAAGAAACTAACACACCCATTATATTGGGTTCCTTGTTACCCATTATCAATAATCTCTATACTTACTTCCATCACTATAGTTTGTTGCTTGTTCTATCTTCATAGAAATATGATCATACACTGTGTGTGTGTGTGTGTGTGTGTGTGTGTGTGTGTCTTCTTGTGCTCACGATTATGTTTGTGAGATTCATCACTTTCTTTGCTATAAAAATACAGTTGATCCTTGAACAACACAGGTTTGAACTCCATGAGTCCACTTACATGTAGATTTTTTTCATGAGTCCACTTACATGTAGATTTTTTTCAACAAATACATTCTACAGTACTACACGATCCAGGGTTGGTTGAATCCATGGATGCTGAACTGCGGATACCAAGGGCTGACTATAAAGTTATATGCACATTTTTGACTGTGCAGAAGTTCAGCATCCCTAATCCCCATGTTGTTAAGGTTAAACTGTATTCTACTGAGTATTAACCCATTCTACTGTTTGTTAACTTTTGGGTTGTTTCCAATCTGAACTTGTTATGAATAATACTACTACAAAATTCTTGAACACATCTCTTGGTGTTTATGTGCATATGTTTCTGTTGGGTATGTATCAAAGAGTAGAACTGCTGGGTTATAGGGTATGTATACATTCAATTTTGGTAGTGGGATAGGGAGGGTGGGAGGGAGGGAGACAAAGAGGGAAGAGATATGGGAACATATGTATATGTATAACTGATTCACTCTGTTATAAAGCAGAAACTAACACACCATTGTAAAGCAATTATACCCCAATAAAGATGTTAAAAAAAAAAAAAGAGATGTTATTTCCCTCCCTTGCTCACCTATAATAGTATAAAAAATAATCAAGTTAAGTACAGGTGATTCTGTTTATTGCTTTTTATTTACAGGAGAGTGTCTAAATTGAGAATTAAAATGGAGACAGTTCCTCTCATGAGATTGCTTTTACCTATTTATCTTTTGAAATCTTTCAGAGTATGTCTAAACTGAGAATTAAAATGGATGATATTTCCTCTTATGAGATTGCTTTTACCTATTTATCTTTTGAATTCTTTGTGTTTCTTAGCAATTTATATGACCCCTTCATACAAAAAATAGTAAGCCTTGGTCTTGTTTACTGCAAAATTTTCCCCCAGTTTGTTATTTGCCATTTTAATGTTGGCCTTTTTTTTTTCTGTTAATTTTCAGAAATTTAAACTTTCATATAATGTAATCTATTTTCCCTTTAATTACTTATATAACTAATAACCTCTGTCTTCTATCATCTAGAAATGTGATAAATAATTCATTTATATTTTCATCCAGTTTTAATGGCTTGATTTTTTTTAAAAGGTGAAATACTTGAAAATTACATGTTCTTTCATTTCAAAAGGTCTTTCAATAAAATGTTCTCTTTTTTCACAAGTAAGGCAAATAACAAAAAAGGGAAAAAAAACTGCAAAACATACAGAACAACACAGATTAAAGATCAAAAGTCCAAGTTCCCTCAAATTCTAATCAAGAGGTAACCCACTGTTTGGGGTACATATTTTTTCTATGTATATACTAAAATGGACAGGAAAAAGTACGTATAGCTTACTGACACTTCCCCTCTTCCCCTCATGATCTTAGCTCATACATCCCCAATAAAGACTAAAGGATGCTAGATCTGGAGTATTTTAATAGTAATTCTGAATGTCCAAGAAGGGAGATAGTACATCCATCCAAGATTTTCAGACTTATTTAATTATAGAATTCTTTATTCAAGTGACAGCAGTTCAAAGACCTGGTAAAAACAGTGTTTTGGAAATGCTGGCTTAGCACTTCAGACAACCTCAAACTGTAATGTTTTGTAAATACAAAGTATGCAAATCAAATATTTAAAAAATGAAAGACAACAAACTTACTTGGGATACACTGGTTCATAAAGGTACTTGTCCCCTCTTGTAGATGTTATATGAAAAAACAAGATGTAGCCATTTGCCGTCTGAAAGATAAATTTTATTTACCATGAATTAAAGGGTAAGGCTATGACTGTAATCTTAATTTTATATATTCTTACTTTGAAAACACTTCAAGAACTCCCTTTTGAAGAGCTATAGCTTAATTATGCAAAGAAAGTATCACTTTGTTTCAATATAATCCATCTTGTTTAAAGTAACTCATGAAAGGGATTTACAGATTTCAAAATATTTCATAGGTAATTGAAATCAATAGTTCATAACATGCTGTAGACATTAATATTCTAAAATAACTGTTATTCAATAATAGATGATTATTTTGCAAAATATACAGAACGTTTTAAACTCTGGAATAATACGGCAAATAATTTTTCTGAGTTTTTAAAGCAATTATGTCACCAAATAGTAAGTATGATGAAATTCTTGACTCTACTCAAAGTTTATATAGTGTAACTTCAGAAAAACATATTTTATACATTTCAAAATCAATCAATTAGCCTCTGATTTACTACAAAATATATCAAGACAGAAGTAAAAACAGAGCAAACCTCCAACTTAAAAAATTTGAACATCAGCTAATTTTTCTAAGTTAATAAAATGTTTTAAAAATATAAACTGTATTAAGTGAAGTCAGAAAGAGAAAGACAAATACCATATGATATCACTTATATATGTAATCTAAAATATGACACAAATGAACTTATCTACAAAACAGAAACAGACTCACAGACATAGAGAACAGACTTGTGGCTGCCGGGGGATCGGGGGGTGGCGGGGATGGATGGCGAGTTTGGGATTAGCAGATGCAAACATGTTATGCATAGAATGGATGAACAACAAGGTCCTACCGTACAGCACAGGGAAATATAGTCAATATCCTGTGATAAACCATAATGGAAAAGAATAGTAAAAAAGTATATATATGTATAAGAATCACTTTTCTGTACAGCAGAAATTAACACACATTGTAAATCAACTATACTTCAATTAAAAAATATATATAAATTATATTAAAACAAACAGTGCCATCATATGATCATGGCACATATCTGACTTGTAAAGCTCAAACAACCATTTTACATTTATATAAATACAGAAAATACAATATTTAGCTTTTTCTAAACAAACATTTTCAGGCATTAACAGAGTGAAGTGGCAATGTTTTACCCAAACTTCTTTACATTCACACTGAATTCCTATCATTTTAGAGGCAGGAGGGCTTTTACCCAAAGTAGAACTAAAGAAACTGAAAAAATTATTCAAAGTTTCAAGTTTCTTTCCAGTACTGGTTTTCTGTTTTTCACATAAAGGAATGCCAGAGGAAATACTCAATTTCTTCAGCAAAGCCAGGTGTTTTGTTTCTAAGCTATAAACTTTAATATTTTAATGTATTCCAAAACTCTAATTCAACATATTGGGATACAAAAGAAAAAAGGTTAAAATCCTTCAGAAAAGATCATCATTCTAATTACTCATGTGCAATTTTTTATTCTTCTAATGTGAAAACTATGGGATCAAAAAGAAAATGGATTCAAATCAAACCATATTGAAAGTTTCAGACATCATGACCCCTATATAGATTAGTGACTGTTTAAAATGTGTAAACTCTACTGTTACAGGGGCTAGAAAAATAATACAGTCTAGTACTTAGATGAATAACATACAACCACTGTCTGAATATCAGTCACTCAAGGTCAAAAGTTCAACATTTCAGAATATCAAATGCTAATAATGTACTCAGAATTTTAACAAGTGCTCAGAAGACTATAATGCCAGGAAAAACACAGCATCACTTTGCACCAGCATTTAGAAATTTTATATAGACAGTATACTAGATCAAATTACAAATAATGGCTTGATTTGCTATTTTGGTATTCTGTATCAATGATCTTTACCAAGTTTCTATGGCTTTGCATGTATATTAAATGCTATTTATTTCCAGATCTCAATGACATTCATCAGTGATAATTTCATGAACAGTCCTGCCTTTGAACAACTTAAAAAGTTTTGGTAGTAAAAACATGATCATCCTTAAAAAGTAGCATCTTTGTGTATCTATACCAAAACTGTTTTTATGCAGTGTTATGATGGCCCTTCTCTTCCTATCCCCAAAATACTACAAAAAAGTATATAACTACTGCTTAATCTGTGGGCAACAATACCAATACCTTCTTCGAGTATACATCCATAAACACACGCACACACCCCAAAACTAACTTTTCTAAGTTAATGAAAAGACAAAATAAAGAACTTCGAAGTTCTCTTTCCTGTTATCATCCCTATCTTAACAATATTTTTTTCTTTCTCCAAGGTATATTACTGGATTACGTGCCTTTAATTACAGAGGCCCAACAATCTGTAGGCAACTTATATGACAAGTCTTTATTTCCCTTTCTTTTGTCTATCCATGAATTAGGGCCATAAGGTCATAAGGATAAAGGTATTGAGAGGATAAAAGAAAATCACTACTTAAATAGAGGATGGAAGAGACAGACTTGTCTCTACTAATGCTACTTAGAAGAAAAAGAACTAGAAACAATAATGTAAAAGGATATTAATAATGCAACAAATTATCAGTCAGAGAGGTATGAATATTAAAGTTTGACATCATTTATTTCAATTGCAAATCTAGTTAACAGAGCTTTTAAAAAACCATGCAAACTACCTCACCTAATTCCACATTTTAAAAAGAAGAGATTGAATTCTACAGGTGGTGGTGGTAGTTGATATGGTTATCATTATTATTATTAACTGCCTGTTTCTATTCTGCTTCGTTTGGACATTTGGGAAGTTTTCACTTGCCACCCCAAATTAAATGTATTTTTAAATTATTTTATGATTGATGCATGACATATATATTACAAATAGTGAATTTCTGTAAACAGGAGTAATTTAAATCTAACCGTGTCATGAGACAAATCAACTGCTGTATATAACTAATGCTTAACCTGTAGGCAGCATCTCAATACTTTCCTCTACCAACCCAAATACTTTTTTGTACATGATTCACCAGATACTTTAGAATTCCAAGTCATAGTGCATTTCTTCTTTAGCATATACCATTTTTACCATAAAGAATACGACAGATTTATGCATCTGGCTCCAATGACTTGAATAATGGCATCACAGAGATTTCTGTAATAACTTAAGAGAGAAGGATTTGATGATTTAGAGATGTATCTTCTATCCCAATATACTGTAATATCAGGTTTCAAATAAGGCTGATAACAGACTAGCATTTTTTAATTCTTTACACTGGTTTATAAATGATGTTCTCTGTTTTTAGCTTTATTTTTTTGTTATACATGTTCAAGTATATAAAATTGCTCACCCCAAAGCACACTAAGATAATGATCTAACACTTTTGTATACTCTTTCAGACTTTGTACAGTGATACCTATGAATATATTTAAATGAAAAATAACAAAAATGGTTATAAATAACACATTCTCTCAAAGATAGGTGAAGAATATATTTTGATACAAATAGCCGTCAAAAATTATTATATTATTACTAGTTCTATCACATTGTTTTATATCAGAATACTTAAAAAAAAAAGACTTCTGCTTCCAACAAAGATGGATTAAGCTGAAGTCAATTTGTGCTCCCATCTGAAACAAACAACCAAAAACCAAAGAAAATATATGAAACAATGGTTTTCAGAACACTGACAAGCAATGAAGGCTAGTGATCCCTGACAGATGGAAAACAACTGAGGTGAGTTCTATGATTGTTCCAGCTTACTCTCTTGAGTTTCCAGGTCACAGCACTGAGAAGGGGAATAGAGACAGAGCCTGGCAGACTCCCTGAGTTGAGAAGATGATGTCGAGAGTCCAGGAAGAACAAGGCACTAACAAAATTTATATGACAGAGTACCAGAGACAAGACAGCTGCATGGAGAAAGAATCAAAGAGCACCAATAAGCACATGTATGTGAGGATACTACCAAGGCAGAAGAGAAACCAAAAGAATTAGTAAAGGGAACAGTCCTGAAAACAGTCCTGAAAACAGTCCCTGTCCCACCAGCAAGACTTAGGAAACTCATAACACACAGGGCATTGATTAGAATGCTCAGGAAGGTAGTCCTGAGGTATGGTTGTGGTAAATTGACTTTTTTTTTGTTTTTTTGTTTTGCGGTACACGGGCCTCTCACTGTTGTGGCCTCTCCCGTTGCGGAGCACAGGCTCTGGATGCGCAGGCTCAGCGGCCATGGCTCACGAGCCCAGCTGCTCCGCGGCATGTGGGATCTTCCCGGACCGGGGCACGAACCCGTGTCCCCTGCATTGGCAGGCGGACTCTCAACCACTGCGCCACCAGGGAAGCCCTACATTGACTTTTTAAACAAGAATAATAGCAATGTATGTTGGGGTCTTACCATATATAAAAATAAAACATGTATAATATATGTTCCTTCACCCTAACAGAATTAAACTAGAAATTGATGACAGAAGATTTCTGTAGAACTCTCAAATATTTGGAAACTAAATAATATGCTTGTAGGGCTTCCCTGGTGGCGCAGTGGTTGAGAGTCCGCCTGCCGATGCAGGGG